TCCCTCCCTTGGTCCCTCAAGCCAGCATCCGTCTCCTCCTCAGGGCCATTGTGTTCAATCTGGTCCCTTGGCAAGACCGACTGTTGCTCTGCACCTACGGCATTCACCTTAGGAACCGAGATTGGTTCTTGGTCAACAGCACGAACGCTTCCAAAGAGTGCAAACCCAACCTTGCGTCGAAACGACAGAGGCCAACCGTGAACGATCGCTGAACTGCTTGGCCCTGGCTCCACCTGTGGACCTTCCTCGACCTCTGTGTGCAAACCTAGGTTTGTGCAAACCTTCATAGGGCGCGTGGCACCGTCACCTTCACGTTCACTTTCAAGGAACACGCTGCTGCAGTTGCTCCATTGCGCGAAAGGAATCATCACATCACGCATCCAACATTCATTTGCACGCTCAGGGTAGGAGGCATGTGTCTGGCAAATTGGTATCCCTTCACCCCTTGCAATGGACGCCACGGTCCAGAGCCACATAGGCTGCAATGCGACTACAGTATCGTCGTCGACCTTTGTTTGTAGGCTTGCTGAGAGGCCTGTTGTGCCCCAGGGGTGGTCACATGAACGCAGGCAAACTACCTTGGAATCCTCAACCTTCATCACACCCCACGTCCTCATAGGAGCATCCGAAATCACTCCCGCGATACGGCCTGTGAATGCAGCCCAACACAGGGCCTTCCATACACGGGGGCACACAAGTTCTCCACAAGCAACCCCAAGTTCGACCAGTTCCACCTGTTGCTCATGGCACAACTGCTTGAGGGTCGGGTCAGCAGGACCCGCGTTCAAACACAGCAACCAACTGTGTGACTGATGCAGCCTCTTCCTTAGCCTTCTGTTGAATGGGAGGGCCTTGAGTACTTCCCAACCGTTGACATCCTGAAGGTCTGTGGCAAGCCTGGCTGAGATTCGTCCCGGCACTTTGTCTAGGAAGGGCATCATGCTGAGGAGATCCACGGTAGCACTGTAGCTTCCACTTCCTACAAAGGCATCCATGGTACCTTCGAAGCTCAAGCCTTGCGTGCCCTTCAAGTAGGCCTGGACCCTCCTCAATCTGGTTGTGAGCTCACCAAGCTTCGCCCCTTCAAGTTCCTTTATCAGACTCATAGCTTGATCACGATTAAGCTGCGGGCACCCTCCCTTCAAGCTGGTCTTGAGGCGGCCTAATCGAGGATGAGTCAGATGGATTCCGCCCTTTTTCGACCAACGCAACGAGCAGTCAAGTTGATCTACCAGGCAACCCAGAGGTATGATGGTCTGCGTCACTCCAGTGCCGTTACAGGGAGCTACCAAAGAACCCCCAGGAGTTTGCTTCCATGTTTGTCGCTGGTCACCAGCAAGCGAAACAGTGCACGGAACGAGGTCTTGGCCTCCCACGGAGCTGACATCCAACACCGCATGTGTCGCACCTGAGTCCAACAATGCCGTAGGCTCTGTCTCCTCCTCATTGGAGGCTGCGCAAACTGCCCTGACTCTTGGCTCTCGGCCATCCAACACCCGGGCTTCAAGATCCTCTAGTTGGGCCTGGATCTTTGCCGCTGCGGCCATAGCCGGTCCCTCAGTTCCGGCTCCACCCTCTGCACCTTGATTCCCAATGGACCCTCCACCCGGAACCGATTGAACAACCGAGGGGTCTGCTGACATGTTGCTGGCCCCGATTGCATCCCGAAGCACTCCCGCTGCATCTGACAGCACCTTTCTGAGACCTGGGTCGGTCCCCTTTGGCTTGTGCGTTGCCTCGGCTCTAGAAGACTTCGCCGAGCTGGCTCCATCATCACGCTTTGCCAAGCCAGTCCCAAGTACATTGGGACAGGCATCTTTGCGATGGCCTTTGGCCCCGCAAGCCATACACCTGTCGACGCGGTCTTGCTTCGGCACCTGACTCCAATCATGAACGAACTTGCATTCCTTTCCCCTTTTGCACCCCTTAGCTTCGTGGAACCACTTACACAACTTCTTAGGGGACTCGCCACCTGCAGCTTGACCTGCTCCCTTCGGTGACCTTGCCTCCTTCTGAGCTGTGGGAGTTGATTCACCACCACCTGAGGTTCGAGCTTCAACCTGCCTAACACCTTTGGTCGGCTCCATCTTTGGTGCTGGCTGGCTGGTAGATGGCACCTCTGTCACACGGGACACCGCCTCCAACTCCACGAGAAGATGCTCGAAATACTCGTTGACCTTGGAGCTTGTGGGCTGGGTGTCCAGATGCAAGGAGGCGCGCACAAGGTTAATGCGAAAGGACAGGCTAGGCAACGATCGCAGCACGTTGCCTGTGATGGACTCCAACGCCTGAATGCTAAGAGCAGCATCGGGCTGCGCTCCTCCCAAGTCCGAGAGCCTTGTCATCCAACGCTTCCACATACGAAGCTTCAGTACAGCATCAATGGGGCTGTCTGCGGGCTTCGGGTGTTGTACTTGCTTCAAAGCCTCAGACCTTTCGGCCACTCCGCCCGGCTTGTATATGATATGAAGTTTGCACAAGATGCTCAGCACCCCACTCACCCTTGAGGAAGAAAGCTCCGCCCTGACACTGTCGGAACAACACTGGATGATAAGGTGCTCCATCCGGTGCCTGACACGCGCCCACCTTGGCTCCTTGTCAATCTGAGACTCAGGGAGTCGAAGGCGGACACGAGCAATCGGAGTGGCTGGCACAAACTTGTTGTTATACCAGTCCTGTGCTTCTTCTAGCACTGCCCTCCAACAATCCCCTGACGTGTCAGACAAGTCGCTCATTGAGGGCTTCACCGCATGAATCCAGTCCGAAAAACCCAGTGCCCCTTCTAACGTTGGAGGAGGAAGCTTGACTAGCTCCTGGACTCCTGGCCTAACCACTTCGGGTCTTGCAGATGAAGCTCCGGTGGAATGTCCGGTCCTCGAGGCCGCAAGGTCTGCGACAACGCTTTGCAACTGAACAATCCCTGACATCATCGCATCTAGCGGGTTCCCTCCACCTGAGGCAGCACTCGTGGCGGGTGAAATACCTGGCGCTCCTGTCTTAGGGACACCCATAGGCACTAAACCCGACCGTGGCATTTCAGGTACCTCTCCACCAGAATGGCTCATAGGAGGTGGTGGAGGCGCAATGGGCTGAGGTCCTAAACCATACTCTAGGGAGGTGCTGGTGCAGTTCCGATCCCTGGCTGCTGCAGACGGCGCTGTGAGTGCCGGCACCTGAGTTCCTGAGCCTAGGCCTGGAGGCATACCTTCTGCAGAAGGCACAGGTGAGTGCGTCGCAATCGGAACCTGAGGTGTGGGCCAACCTTCATGCACGAACGCAGACACAGCTGTGGCCTTGCTCGGCACCTGCTGAACAAACCCCATCAAGTTCCTTCTAAGACCACTCAACCAACCTCCCTTCCCGACATGAAGACCAGTTCCATCAGAAACCGACTCTACATTCGAGGATGCCATTTGCCGGAGCATCTGGTTTTCTTCTACCAACGAAGCTACCCTACTCTGCAGTTCCGACTGTACAACCATAAAGGCTTGCATCTGGCGTCTGACCTCCGCTTGGATAGCTTCCGCCTGGCCCGACTCAGAACCCGACGAATGGGAGACAGGTGGCACTCCCATGGAGCCACCCTCCCTCCTCAGATCACTTGGACCTCGGTCACTGTAGAAAAGCGGGGCCTCCTGCTCCATCTCCCTCAATCGTCGGGCCTGTTGCGGCGAGAACAATTCATTCCCAGAAGATGGTGCCACTTCTTCCGCAGGCTGCTCCTCGTTTGAAGCTGATACGGCCGTCACGTAGCCCGTCCCCACAGTCCCTGCAGATCTCACCTCTTCTTGTCCCAAGAAGCTTGCAGCCGACGATGCCTTCGCTGGTGGGACCACACTTTGGACCTTGGCAGCCACCGTCGCCATCATGCGACCCGCCGCCGCCCTCAGTGCCCCTGCCACAGGCTCACCCGTGGCCTTCCCAGACCTTCCAGTATCATCGCCGCCTCTCGCCTCCTGCGCACTCGAAGGTTGCTGCAGTTCACTATCCATGGACATTGGACCCATGGTCCCATACGTGCCGTTCAGCAAATGCGAAGCACTCGCGCGCGCCAGCGTGTTGGGCGCCCATAGCCTGTTGTTGCTCTGACCCTCGATCCCTGCTTCTGGCCTCACCAGGAGTCTCATGAGGAGGAAGGTCTTGTAAGTTGGGGTTCTGTTGTGCCTCCCCATCTTGGTTGCCCGACATACGTCGTGTTCGTAGTTTATACTCCGTAACGGCAACAAACCATGGCACCGCTTCGGGTGCAGCTCAATCGAATTTTTTCACTGCTCGCGATCAACACCTAGCTGCGTGCTCAGCTGCTTCTGCTGATCTGTCTTAGTCCTTGAAGAAATGCGAACATGACTGTCTCTTCACCTTGAGCAGCATGCCCTGCGACGGAATGAGTGATCCCCAGCTGTACACTTAAACCTGGGATTTTCACAATTAGAATAGGGTTTCGGGGTATTTATTGTACTATAGTTATGAAAAGGAGCCCCCCAAAAATTCACGTTCGTGCCAACCCTTGCCGGCGTTGACACTTACCAGGTGCTGACAGCAGTCTGGTGTTTCACGACTGCCCGACATCCCTTGCGGTCCTGTTGTAGGCTTGCAGTGCGCCTTTAGGCGTGTGCTTGAATTCTCGTGGAGCCGTCTTGTGTTACGGACACATCTATACGGGATCCACTTGGATCCGCTCGCAGGGTTCGCCGGGTCTAAAGCCCAATTAGCCTCAGGGCTGCTGCAGCTGCGCCGCGGACCTCACATGGCAGATCACCCAACGACACTCGCCCAAAAAAGACTCCAAGAATCGCAAAGAGCATGCTGACTCCGGACCGTGCCCCTTTTTCTCCGCAGATTTCCGGCCGCCTCCAATGAACTCCGAGAGCTGGGCCTGCTCGCAGGACTCTTCTGACTCTCTTTCTAGGGGCTCTTCTCTTACCCCCTGCAGGCTGAGCACTGCCATGGGCTGAGCACTCGCTCGCTTCTTTTTTTTGTTGCGGTGTCTTTTGCATCGGTCAGGGTTGGGAAGATGGCTCGGCTTGCTTGGCCTTCCGAACATAGACCCCAGGAGCCTGCTCCTCCCAATCTCCGGGTGGCTTGGAGGTGAGGTCCCAGCCGAAACCGCCCTTCTCCTTGCTAAGGAACTTCTTGAGAAAGGCAATGCTCGTTAGGTTCGAGCGTCCCCCGGAGATCCGGCTGAGGAAGGTAGCTCCCGTAAGTCGTAGCTTCCGATCATACTCCGCTCGGAGCTTGTCATCTCCAAGCACCTCGTATGCAGCAGATACGACCTTGAAAGCATTCTCGGCTTGAAGTCTGAGGTCAGGGTCATCGCTGTGTAGCTGTTGCACCTTGTCCGGGTGGATGCTTAAGGAAACCTGGCGATATGCGACACGAATAGCCGCCTTCTCTGCATCTGGGCTTACCCCCAGCGTCTCGTAGAGACTCTGCGCTTCGCCGACCTTGTCCAAGACGAAGGGCAGGCGCTCCTGATGCTCCTCCGTGGCGTCCTCTGGGCGCCAGGTCGTCGGCCTCTTTGGCTCCTCTGGAGCTGGCAAGGCCTTCTGCACTTGGGGCGATGCCCTCTCCTTCTCCTTCTCCTTTGATGGCCTTGAGGAGCTCGTGCTGTTTGGGTTCCGGTAGTGGAACTCGCCCAAGATGAAGTGACGCACACAGGAGCAGCTGCAGCGACGGCACACGACCTCCTCTAGGGTGTCGCTGGTCCTAGGACGCTCGCCATACTCTGCCAGCACAAAGCCGCGGCAACCGCAGTCCATACACCGCCCGCGCAAGTTCGCAAGAGGGTCGACACACAAGTTCCCTTCCTCCATCTCTTCGATCGCAGCTCCGGTCTCTCCTTCCTCCCACGGTCCAACCACCTCGGCGAAAAGCTCGCCACCTCTTTCCAGTGCAGCCGTGTAGACCCGTGCAGTAAGGCGAAAGTTGAGCTTGGAGTCCGGTGGGAGTTCGTGAACGCGGGCCATGGACATGGTCTCTCTCTGCACAGCCACAGTGGGCTCATCCCGGTCGGATTCTGCCCACTCCACTTGGTACTCGACTGTCCTAGCTGGGAATTTCGCCCACTCAAGGACTGCGGCCTCTGAAACCATCTGGATGTCCTTGACAGCCGGCATCTGCGCCAGCAGCTGCCGTCCGAAGCCCAGACTGGATGCATCCAGCAAGACCCAACCAGCTTTGGATAAAGTGGGCTTTTCTCCCTCCTTGCCCTGTAGAAGCACCCAGGAAGCTTGCGGCCATCCCGAGACGATCTGCCCCCTTTTCAGCTGCCCGAGACTGCGGGAACTGGTAGAAGGACGCCGATGGATGGGGAGCTGAGGCTTTAGCACCAAGAAGTCCACCGGCTTGAGGTACAAAGAATCCATCAAGCCCGCTAGCGGGTCCATTCGGAACGCGCCCGCCTGACAGCGGAAGGAGCGGTCTTTCATGGTAGCTTCACGGATGGTCTTACCAACAATCGAAACAATCTTGGATTCTCACATTTAAGGCTTGCAAGCTGCATCCTGTCACTACATAAGCTCTGCAAGAAAAAGTAGTCTTCAAGATGAAGACAAAAGCCTGCAGAATCTTCAGGATGTAAGCTGCTGCCACCCCCCCCCCCCCAGAACCAGCCTCGTCTTCGCTGTCCACTTCAACAGGCTCCTTGCTCTTGGAGGGATCCTTGGCCTTGATCTTCGGCTTCGCAGCTTCCTTCTTGGCAGCGGCGAGGCGCTTTCTCCTTTCCTCCTCCTCCTGCTGGATTTGCTCTCGGAGATCTGCTGGGGCCAACTCCTCCGGCACCAAAAGGTCCGTCTGGAAGCCCACGGAAGCTCCGTCGATCAAAACCCAGGCGTCCACATACTTGGCCTTGGAGTTCACGGCGCCGCGCGGCATCGCATTCACGGCCCGGGCGGACTCCTGGCTCAGGTGGAGCCAATTGCCCTCCAAGCAGCCCGACACCTCGGTGCCACGGCGCAACGCTCCCAGCGCATCTCCTTTGGTGCTTCGCCGGCTCCGCACGAAGACGCGCGCGTGCATGACGAGGTAGCGCCGGAGGGGCCTGCTCTCCAACAACCTCTCGGCCGCTGGCGTGCCCGCCCGCGCATGCGAATCGAAGGGGTCCCCGCAGCGCATGCACTTGATGCTCTCCGGGTCAGCGTTGAGGCCCAAGCGTTGAGCGTTCTCCTCGTCTGGGTCCTCCTGCTCCTCCATTCCAGGTCGCCAGATGAAGCCGTAGCACTGGCAGTTGAGGCATCCGGCGCGTGCTGTGCCAAAAGGGTCCAGGCAAGATTCCGGGTCCTCCTCGTCCTCCATCGTCAGTTCCAGTGTCTTGGATTCAATCCAAAGCCCAGCAAACCGCACTTCCGGAGGCGCATCCGCGCCGGGGGTCGCTGGACCTCGTATTCGGACGGCGACATGCAACTCGAAGGGCTTTCCTGGTGGCATGTTGGACACCACCTCCTGTGGCTTGTGACAAACGGCATGTCCAGCAGCGCCCGATTTCTTGCAACGCCATTCAACGATGTAGACCACCTTCACATCTGGCTTCAGAAGGCCTTTGAAGCCTGGCCATACCACGTCCACACCCTCCAAAAAGCGGGTTCGAATGCTGGGCAGCAAGCATTGCACAGCGAGACTGCGGCCAATGTGCACCCAGCCACGCACGCTGCCACTGGGCTTCAACCTTAACCACCCGGAGCCTGGATAGCCGTGGACCATCTGACCGGGTGACAAGCTGCCCAGGGGCGACGAGCGCGGATCAGGGGATTCATGTACGGTCACCGCCTCACGGACTTCGTACTCCAAGGGCTTGGTCAAGTCGCTCAAGACCTCTGCACCACGCTGTGCAGCGGCTTTCACAGCTTCGTGGTCGATTTGCTTCTCTGTGCCATGGGCCTCATTCCCCCCAGCGGCTGCTGTGATCTCCTTCGAAGAATCCTCTTGAAGCTGCTTCGGCGGGTCCGGCTTCGAAGCGGCGGTTACTTCGGTCTTGATCTCTTCAACTGGCTTTGGTGGCTCCGTGCTTGGAACTTCCGACACCTCTGAGGTCTCTGGCTGCCTAGGCCTGGGCTCGGTTTCTTCTATCTCCGGCTTCGGAGCCTCGGGCTTCGCGCCAGCCTCTGTGGCAGTTTCCTCTTCAGGAGGCTCTGCCACGACAGGCTCTGCCGCAGCTTCCTGGGTCCCAGGAAGCTCCGCTTGAACTGCCACCAAAGGGGGCTCCTCTTCCCCCAGAGCCGGCGCATCCCGCGGTGCCGACTCTTTTTGGGGCGATTCGGGCTCTGCTCGCTGCTCGGGCGGATTTGGGGGAGCCTCCTCCAACGTCTCTGGGATGTTACGCTCCGCCGTCGGCGACGTGGACTGTGGAGTGCATGTGGTTGCGGTGTTGGCAAGCTCATGCGCTTCGAAGCTCGCTTCTTGGGCACTTGGATGCCCGAGGAGAGGGGGCCAATCCTGGCCGTGCACCTCCTTCGCTGAGAGAAACTCTTCGATGTCCTGCTCCTCCCTTTTTCGCAAGATCTCTCTCCACTCAAGGACGAAGACACGCACTTTCTCCTCCTCCTCCTCCGCGTCAGCCATTGGCTCAGGGGACCTAGCCTGCCTACGACGTCAAAACTCCAAACACTCCTGACTTAGCTGCAAGGCCTCACGCCGGAAGACCCGGTTAAGGAAGAACTCACGGAAACAAGACGCCATGCTTTTGTTGGCTCCAATGGCCACTGTTGTTCTTGGAGGCTGTGCTCACGTGCGCACGGATATCTCACCCTGCCCAAGGTGGCTCTCGAGGCCGCGAAGAGGCGACGGCGGTTTCTTTAGAGCCCAAGAAATGTATGGCCAAGGCCGCAGTCCAAGTGCAAAAGAAGCAGCTCTACACAAGGCAGATGCTTGGAGAGCCCTTTTTTTCCATCGCTTCTCTCGTCGTGGTTTGTGGCGATAGCTCGCAGCCTACTAGCAGGCCAGCTGTGCCAGAAAATCGCAGTCAGGGCAGAGCCACACTCACCTCAAGATGAGAGCAGCAAGGCTTGAATGCCCCCGGCAACTCAAACGGAGTCTTGGTTTGGCGGGCATCTGGTATAAACCCTGAGGAAGTATCGGTAGCATTCATTCCAAGGACCGGCGACACCTCCAGCAATCATCAACATCAGAACGCTCATCACCATCGCCACCACATCATTCCAATCCTCTTCGTCGTCATCGTCATGAATGTCATCACCATCCCATCATCCAACAGTGCTTCCTGCATCTGAATTTAGAGTGCGCGGCCACGCACGTCTCAGCATGTCACTCATCTGCTTGTCACAGACACGGCTTTCTTCACCATGTGTGTCTGCATGTAGCATGTATGTGTGCATGTATGCATGTATGCATGTATGTATGAGTGCACGCATCTGTGTCTGTATGTACTTACACATGTACAGATGTACACATATGTATGTACAAATTTATGTACCTACCTATGCACGTATGTATATTTGTCTGCGTGCGCGTGTGTGTTTGTGTGTGTGTATATGTGTATATATATATATAAGGTCACACCCCCCCCCCCATGATCCACACGAATAGCTTTTCAACTACTGCTGCGTAGTCT